ATGATTTTTTTATAGAAGTAATAAGTAAGAAGTAGTAAGTCGATTCATAGTAAGTCTTCTGAATTCGATTCTGACTCATTCCATATGCACGATTCATTTATGAGAAATTAATTAACTGCAAACTATCTATTATACAGATAAATATTTCAAGCAAAAATTATGATATCGAGGAAAACATTATATGATGAAAATAAATAAGACATTACTTAATTTTACTTCTAATAAACTAGATCTTTAAATTAAATATACATATATGTATACAAGAATACAATAACAATTATAAATCCTACATAAAAACTGCATTCTAGAATGGAGATTGCTTTGTTTAAAATAAACAGCATCTAATTTTATGATGCCCATTCTATTATAGAAAAAAAATTGAAATTAAAATTTTTCACAATGATAGCTCACATTTTATAAATATATATAAATATGCATTTACATACACACACACACACACACACACACACACACACACACACACATACATATATACATACATATATATAAAATCTTATTAATAAATAAAACAAAAACAAAAAAAAAAACAAAATGAAAAAGAAATAAATGTTTTTGCTTAACTTAATTTATAAATCAGATAAGTAAGGAAAAGATCGAGGTCGATATCGCTAATATATTATATTTTGGAAGAGGAAGAAGGGAACGAAGAGAGGAGGAAGAAAGAGAGAAAAAGAATTAAAAAGAAGAGTACTAATAAAAATAAAGAAACAGATTTGATATTATAAGAATCGAATGAAATATAGTCTAAACTAATCTAGTTTAACGCATTTTACAGTTATGCTTCGACAGAGTAATTTAATACAGATATATTGAAAAGAGAAAGCAACCACAAAGTACAAACATCTTTTCTTTTTATCAATCCAATACCGATCAATGTTAAGGAATATGATGCAATTTTTTACAGAGGAATGACCATATATAAGAATAAAATTGTATATAACTGAAGGGGAAGGAAATCGAGATATGTAAGTCTTGTACATATTATATGTGTAGCGCGTGATATGTTAGTTTAGCCGTCTCTCTCGAGATTATGACACATGACGTTGCGCATCACAATTAAAAATTATGTATTGTTTATGTGTAAATTATAAAGTGGTTGATGCATGCGTATTATATACATTATATCCATATATCGCTTAGTCACTTCTAAGACGAATCAAAGCAGTCAGAATGAAATTAAAGGATACCGCTCTTAAATACTATTTTAGTACTACGCAATAATGTGCTCGCTATTATTTATTTGACAATTTGGAATTTGTAGAAATTAAATCTTTTGACTAATGTTTTTCAAAGAAGATTATTTCATAAGAATATTTTGCGTATGAATGGCAATCATCGACATTGTATTTTCTATTCTCATCGTAAATCATCACAGATTTTTAATAACAGAAAACGAAATGCATATATTTTAAACTGTTTTTAGTTTGAATCCTCATTAAATCTGAGATTCTGACCTTTGTTTCTGATAAAATTCTCCGTTAACTTTTGCGAGCTTCTGAATCAAACAATAACGTATAACATTTATATGTCGCGATACATTGCGATATATTACTCAATTTATTAAACTTACGCCATCGAAGAATTATATGTAAGGGCATTAAAGGGATTAAAGTAGCTTTAACCTTAATTTATCAAATTCTATGCTTTTTTTATATTAACAAGAGCACGAAAAAAAGTCTTACTCGTTAATATTCTTTCATTTTTATGTAAAACATAGCACTTAAGAATTTGGTTTAGTGAAAGAAAATTACTCGATACCCGATACTTTCTCTACGATTGTCTGAGATTATCGTATAGAATATAAATTTATGTTTTTAGTCGAGTAAGAATTATACAACCGTAAGTACAAAAGAGCAATGCCGACTATGTTTTAAAGCTCGTATCATGTGCTTAAACTATAGTTGATTTTGGATCTGCGATAATTATCTCAATACTTAAATCATGCGTTATATGTCGATTTCGAATGTTCGCCATTAATTTTAGATGATCGCAAGTTTGGATGATTGTAATAGGGTACTTTACGAGAAGCACCTCTTTCTCTTAATAATACAGAATTTTTTTTTATCGTTATCATTATTGACGCGCTTAGAAAAAATGAAAATATACTGTAAAAATATGTAGTAGTTATTACATCTTACCCCTCTATGCCGTATATTGTCACGTTACATATCAGTTTTTCTATTTGTACTCGTCTTTCTTATTGTGGCATTAGACTTACAGAGAGAATGTGACATTCCACGTTTTCGTGAGTGAAAAATATGTAGGCTATAGAGGGTTAAGAAAATAAAATTGATATTTGCCAGGAAAGATTACAATTATTGCGGGAAATTTTTTATTGGACTCAGTATCGTAGGTTTCTCTTAAATAAATTTGATATTAAATTCATATACCTAATTCAATAAGTTGCAATTAATGAATTTTTAATAAAAAAATCATTTATATTTTATGGCCTTAATGATATACCATACGATAAAAGATACGTAACAGTTTGTAAATTGAATTAAGAACTCTATAAATTTAATTGTTCACTATTTTCACTAATTTCTTTATTTGAGAAAATAAGGAATATTAAATATGTCGCGTAAAAGCCGCCGATACTTTCTAAAATATGTATATTAAATTAGAACTACATTGCCACAAATTCGCGGTATATACATATTTGATTATCGTAAAATCTGTGAATTTCGAATTTTGTTAAATCAAATTTACTATATCGACTAGTATCACTTCTCTAAATACCATTTGCCGGTAACGCAGACATTTAATATCGCCTAGACGATAAATTTCGCGCGTTATCAGTGGAACATTATTAATTAAAATTTATCCGCAGGATGTCGTGCTGGGTAGTAATCATTAATTGTAAACGCATCAGAGAATCGTCCGTTTCATCGATTTGTTGCATCTTCCAAACTCTACAGTTCCTTCAATAAAATAGCAGCATTCCGTAAAAAGTGTGCAGCAAAAATAAGGCGATCATGTTCGTGTAATTGGAGCAACAATGCTGCGTTGGTCGGACATGTTGGAATGCGCAGAGCACAGATCGTGCAAGATGACGCGTTACGACGACTGATGGTCGTCTACTTTCAGCGTCGCGTCCGGCGCCTCGTAAATGTGGCGCGGCGAGACGCGTTGGGCGAGCGTCGGTCGACGCTACGAGAGGAGCGGAGAGGAGCGGCGCGGTGAAACGGGGCGAGATGGAGTTTGGCGGGGTGGGATGCGGCGCGTTGCGTCGCAGCGGTGTGGGAACATTCGCTGTGTGTGAGCAGCCCGCCGACCGTAGTCTATAGCTCGTGTACAGATGGTCGGCTACGTGTACGGCGCTTACGCTCGCGACCGCGCGCCAAGCGGTTGAGACTGTTGAGAGAAGAGAGTGGGACGACGGCGGCGCTGGCGGCGATGATGGTGGGGGTACGAGTAGACTCGCGTATTCTATGGGCGGGGCTTTGGCCAGCTGGCAGATGTTTCCCGCGCGGCGCGTCATTCCTCTAGCGTAAACCTACGCGACGCGCAAATAGTCCCGCGCGCCGTGGCGTCGTAGATTTCCCGCGACCGGGCTAACCGTCGGTCACCTTACGTGTGCGAAACTGTAGATTTACGCGCGTCTAAACGAGCGAACCGAGACGGTACCGAACCGAACCGATCCGGTGTCCGGGGTATAGCCGGATTTTGCGAGCCGGATCGTGAGGATGAGCTGACGGGGGATTGGTCTGAAGCGAGTCGCCGCTCAGGGCAGAGCAAAGTGCGCGGTTTCCCCCTCGGTGTCGAGCGCGAACCGCCTCTCCGATTGTGCGGCGAGCCGCGACTTTAGAGTGTGTCGTCTACCTCTCGAGGTGAGATTCTTCGCGAACGTTTACCGCGCGCGCGCGCCGATATCCATCGGCCGGTTGATTACGTCGTAACGTATCCGACTTGTCGCGTGCGCGGACGAGAATCAATTCGCGCGCGATGATCCTACCGGCATACGCGAATTCCGAGTGATTCGCGAAACGTCATTGCACGTCCTCGCGTCTTAATCGGAGCGGTATCGTAAATCCTCGTGCGGGGACACGGCAAGTGGAACTAGTGGAAGGGACTGAAACACACGAAACATCGATTAGGACGAATGTCAACTTGACGCGAGTGCAACTTGATCTAAGTGTTCCCGGCTACGAGTCGTGTAATATTTGACGAAAAAAAAAAAAGAAAGAAATTCGTGCGAGTCATCGACCAGTAGTGCGTTTCAGAAGCTTTTTTTAAGACGTACGATTCCAATGTGCTGTATATTATTCAAATGGACAGATTGAAGCCGTCCGGCGAGATACCGCAAGAGGAAAAGTGCATTTCGCGAGTGAAGGAAAAAGTGACGTGTGACGCCCTTCGGTGGGAGAAAGAATCGGCCACCATCGCTTCAGCTCCAACCGCATAGCTACGCTCCTGACGCCGGGCGGCGGAGTGATCCACGGGGCACCGTGGGGGCCCTCAGCTGTTTCCCGCCAAAGATCGCCATTACAAACGCGTTCGGGCGTTGTGTGTGCGCGCCGCGCGGAGCGTGTGGCTGTCTCGTGGACGAATCTTCCGTGCGTGTCGCCGGCGTCTGCTTGGAGGTGAAGGAAAACGGGGTCGTCGCGAGACACGGCGTGAGCCGGAAGTGGCGAATAATCGGCGTTATATCGACGTGGATCGGTGCATTCCGCGAGGCGGAGACGCGTTTGTTAAAACGCGCATTGTTTGTCCCCCTCTTCCGCCCCCGGAGAAGAGTGCGCGGTGTCGGGCGACGAGAGTGAAGGAGGCGAGCGAATCGACAGCGGGGCGAGAAAGAAAGCGAGGAAAGAAGTGCGCGAGGAAATCGAGTGTCGAGCGATAATCAGAAGAATTCGAGGAGGAAAGAGCGAGCGAGAGCGAGAGAAAGAGAGAGATCCAGCGGGATATCCGTTGTCTTTTCGCCAGCCGCGACGACGGCCGTCGGAAACGTGAAATTCGCTCGGCGGGGACTCTCGGTGCCGCGGACTGACAAGATATGTCAGTGTTTGGTAGTGAAATCGATCGGATTTTGCTCGAGGAAATCGTCGAGTCGACTGATCAGCCGGAAACTGACCTGTGCGGGTAAGTCCTTTCTCATATATATCTTTTTTTTTTTTCGAGAAAAGAAAAAAAGGAACGATCCGCTCATTCGTGGTAGTAGTACGGTGTGCGTGGTGATGGTGTAGTGTGCCGAACACCAAGGTGAATCTATGTATGCGTGAGCGTGTATATATGCACGTATATACCCTGTGCCCGCGTTTGACACGACGAGGTTATACGTACGGTACAGCTTCGTAATAGAGCGGAGTGAGATCGAGCGGGCGAGAAAGAAAGACAGAGAGAGAGAGAGAGACAGGCTCGCAAAAGCGTGTCGTCGGAGCCGCTTATCGCCTCAACCTGTTTGCGATTTGCGAGAGCGTAACGTAGCTGCCGCCGTGGCATCATTGGGGCGGCGGTGTATCGGCATTGTCGGGCTCGCGCGAGGTGCGTACGTATCGAGCCGCGAGAGAGAGAAAGAGAGAGAGTGAGCGAGAGAGCGCGGGGCACACACAGCTGTTGAAGCCGGCCGGCCGGCCGGCCGGCGCCCGATATCCGTCGCTGGTGGCTGGCTGGCTGGCTGGTTGGTTGGTTGGTTGCTTGCTTGCTTGCTGCTGCTGCTTCTGCTGTAGCCATCGATGTGTATATACGATCGTGACGCTACGTCGTCGGCAGCCGCTGTGCCACAGTGCCGCCGCGCCGCGACCGGCTCCCCGAAAGCCGTTTTCCGCTGGAAACGCAGGGACGCGTAGCGCCGCGTCGCACCGCGTCGGATCGGATCGTCGGGGACCGGCACTCTCGCGAATCTCCGCGCTCTCCATGCGTTCACGCCCAACAAGCATGGCGCGCGCCGCCCGTTCATCGTTCCGTACGCGGCGGATGCCTCACCTCCCCGTTTTCACGACGTCTGGCATTTCTTCCGTTACCGCGCGCGCATCCGCATTTCACCCTTATGTAATGAAAAACTTGGTAATTTCATCGGAATATCCTTTATCTGTACGTTGGAGATCGAAGGGAAGGATTGTCTGTGTTCGGCGGATAAAACATCTTTGCGACCATTGTAAGATTTTGTATGATTAATTCTCCTCCTTGCTGCTCAAAATATATTACATATAAATCGATTATATTAAAGAATTTGATAACAGGTGCAAAACTGCCTTTTCCATTGAACGCAGCTATTTGCTTCCTGTACGAAACGCTTAGCTAGAATTAGAATTTTATCATCTTATTTCTTTCGACGTATTTTTTGTTATATTTGTTTTTCCAGCGTTGTCTTAGGATACGTCATAAGTTTTTATTTTTTACAAAATTAGACGTCAGGTTGACGTCAATTATCTAAAAACTGTATTACGTGCTTGAGTTTTTTGTAACTTTAGATTTGTTGATGAAAATTTATGTATCTTAAAAAACTTATGTACATTTATATAAGTAAAATATATAAGATATCAAGTAACGCAATATCAATGTTATAATTTCGCATTCTAAAATATGTATTATGTTTACATTATACTTGTATCGAGTGTAAAATTATAATATTGATGTTATATTATTGTTAGTTGATATTTTTCTGACATATCTTAAATATTATAACAAATACGACAAAAAGTGTCTAAAACCGATTATAAAACGCTTTTTACGTCCAAAAGCCGTCTTAAAGACATCTTATATCACAATTTTTGAATTTGTGTTGTTGGGTGCATACTCGACACATATATTAAGATTTAAAAAATTCACATTTATAAAATCCTCTCGAATGTAAGCTTTATCTATAACGTGTTGTTCACTACAATGCGTTAACAAATAGTTACGTAAATCTCACAGTTCGTAATATCCGGCAATGGAGAGAAAAGAACTTACATAAAATCGCTGTTTATAAAATGTTTAAACTCGTTATAAAGTCATATAGGTAATGATTTCGTCCTACGAATGAAGCCGACATGTCGCGTTTGGTCCGCTGAGAGAGATCGCTGAGAGAAGTATGCCGAGTCACTTTTTGCGTCTTCGACTGTGCGCGTCGATGTATGTGTTTTTGGTCTCACGAGTACAACGATCGTATAGAACAAAGAAGCAGGAAGGCGCGAGGAAAGTGTGTCCTTTTGTGTACAGCCGAGTGACCGACAGAGCCGGGGCATGTAGTGTCACCGTACGCGTTACGTAAAGCCGCATTTGTTGCACAATAATCGGTTTCTATAAATAACTCCAAGCATGCCACGCTCCGGCTTGACTTCTTGTTTACATACGCTTATCACCGTTCTATTGCGCTGTGTCCCTCAGTCGTATTCCCAAGTCCTTCGAATCCTACAGGCTAAATCTCATTCATACACAGACGTTTCACAAACTACGTGTTTAAATTTAAAAACGCTTATCGAAGTTAAGATACGGTGCAAAATTCGCTCAACTTTGGTGTTTACAGATGCATTCTATAGATGATGCATTTATTACTATAAAGAGTTTATTATTATAAAGTGCCAACGAAATATTTATTAAATATAAAGATATATTTATTTGGTGTAAAAGAAAACATTAATTTGATTCAACAATTATTTCTTTCTATTAAGTAAATATTTATTAAATATTTATTATTTACTTATATTTATATATAAGTAAATGTTTAGTTGGCAGTATTCAAATAAATATTTATTTAAATTTAGGATTTTTTTCCTCAGTGTAGATGTATCAATTAGAGTGGATTGACATGATTCAATTATTGTCATTATAGAACGAAATGACAAAAATTTTAAATATTAAGCTTGTAATGATACGAATAAATAAATTCGTTATTTATAAAAATTTATTTAGAGCCGTATTATTAAAAGTTTCATAAAAATTGTCATTTTGTCCAATAATTGCTCTCTTGTCATGTCTGCTGGTACATTTATCTTATAAATAGATTTATTGCTATTAACTTTTCTGCGTCAAGTTCAATTGATTGGCGCTTTTAATTTATTCCTTTTTAAAATTGGTACTATAAGAAATATTCTATTTTTACGCAAATGGATAACGTAGCTGTTTTAAATCCAGTGAAGCATGTCGAAAAGGTTCATTAAATCATACGTGTATTTCATTTCGCGTCACTAATCAGGATGCCATTATAATTTCATTAATCTGAAGAATGTAAAAGAAACTGCAGTATCATGTGTGGCGTAAAAAGTGTAAAATAGCGTACGCCATGGTAATAAAATTAAACGTCGATACTATTATCACCAAACGGATGAGGTATGAAGCGTAAATAAATGATCAATGTACGCGACATACCTAATAAAGTAATAATGTCTCGTTTCTCATATATCACCGCTTCGTGTTACGTTTTATTATTTATACATTTCTAATCGCAGCAGTGAGACACAGTGGAGGTGGCTCAGACAGCTTCGTGCATCTGAATTATATAATTCATCGCTTGTCGAAAGCGATTTTGCTTATTCTACGTTATCCGATGGCGTTATTCCGCAAACCTTGTACGATGATAAAGTCCGACCTCGTAGTTACGTCGACGTTAAGGGGAAACTATTTCCCAAACTTCCCTCGCGCGTTGGAATGTACAACTTTGACACCAAAGTTGAACGTAACGCACGAAATCACACCAGATATGTGCTTATCCGTTTAATCGCGACAAATACGATATCAGCCCATTAAACAGACTGTCGTTACGTAATCGGAATCATTCTTGCATTACTGATAAATTTGCCCTCACCGATAAAGTAATTTATTCCGATGCGCGCACCTCGTCTTTGTACACATATATTTATTCATTTATAGCTTTGCTGGGAATAGCTTAGAAACGCAAATTACATTTCACACGTCAAATACATCTGTTGGTTCCTGTAAACTCGTAATGGACGAGTGCAGTTGTTAATTGAGTATGAAACATGGCTTTTTATATTTTAATTTTAACCTTTAACTTACAGGTAGATGTACATCCTAAACAAATTTTATTTTTATAATTATTTTTTTCAATAGTATGCACATAGTTAAATTTACATCCTTATTTATATCCTTATTTATTTATTCCTTATTTTTATTCTTACGAGATAGAGGAATGTAAAAATAATGAACTTTAAGATTCTGGATAATACTTTTTATTTTTCTTTTCCAGAACGACGCTGATAAAATGTATGGTTGGATTAATTGGTTGGAAATTGGTTGGAAATTCTACAACACCTAATACATAATTATTTCCAAAATCTTTATAGAGAAAAATATCTGATTGAAAATGGGCAAATCGGAATTTTCTAGTTAAATCTACCAAACTAGTTGAGGTAACTAAAATTCTGAATGGTTATCAATAAAAATCTTCTTCCCATTTTCAATCAGATATTTTTCTCTATAAAGATTTTGGAAATAATTATGTATTAGGTGTTGCATTGAGAGAAATTTTTGGGATAAATAAATTATTTATTTTGTTTATACATAATTTACAAACTTTCTTACCTGTTAATTAAAAAATGTTGTTCTAATTAAAATTTGATTATTTTAATTAGAATTCCAAAAAATTTGATTATAAAACAATACAATTTTTAAAAAAGATACGAAAGTTTTTGTACGTCATTTATCAAAAAAATAAATGGTTTTATTCGTACTCAACATTTTTCTCAGTGTGTGGCCACTTACTTAATTAAAGATTAACAACAAAATGTGTCTCTGTTTTACACTTACAAATAAATATTATTCAGATATATGATTTCGTTATTTCGACGTTCGCCGTTCCAGTAGTTCATATAATATCATGATTATAATTTCTAATTCTTCTAACGTCCTTTTCAATAATGCTGTGATAATACATAATCCGATATGTAGTTGCACAATACAATTCCTAATTAATATGCATGCTTTGCGGCACGTAAGCACATACCAGATAAAGATCATTGACATAACGTCTGGATAATGTTTATCAGTGCGCGACAGCTATGCCGAGATAAACAGTGCTAAACGGCGATCGTTTCTCGCTGAACGTTCAAATATTCGATATACCTACGAGACGCACATTGTATACGCAACGCGCCACGATTCTTTTACACGCAATTTGTTTTTTTTTTCTGTGTTGAAAG